AGCATTCACGCTGTGCTCTGCACTCTATGTCCATTATGTCATGGAACCTTCACAAGAAATCCTGCAAGACAGAAACCAAGAAAGGGAGATGGTAGTAAAGTCAAAGTCAAAGTCCCTTTACCTGGTATTTAGTTCTCAGGTCTGCTTGCTTCCAAAACCTGTGCTATGACACCAAGTCACTGTAATATTACACTGGGCATGGCTATGGAATTTTCTTCCCTCATTAAATTCAAGAATAATTTCAGGGTATTTGCATAGTGAACATTTGTATACCTAACCCTGAATTTTACCACATATTTTTAAAATAAAAAATTAAAAATAAAATTTTATTTTCTGCTAAGAAAAAGAAAAAAAACCTCAAGAATAGTTTCTAAAGACATATATCCAGAATAGTGACATAGTCCTGTCTAGAAACAGAACAATAAAATGGGCTACATTCCTCTGAGGCTACCTTTGGCCCTGTAATTTTAGGTTAAAACTCACCTAAATAGCAATTCAGTCCAAGGCTTTTACTGGGCACACTTTTTATTATTATTATTATTAGGGATTCAGGGTCTATAGCATGAGTAAGACTTTAGGTATTTATACTTAAGTTTCCTCCACCTCCTAAAATATCCATCACTAAGGAACTAGTCCTAAATTAGAGCATGTCCATACGATGAAATTCTGTGTTACTGTTAAAATTTATGTGGAAGATAGCCTGGGCAACACAGCAAGACTCCCATCTCCAAATAAATAAATAAATAAATAAATAAATAAATAAATAAATAAGCTAGGCGTGGTGGCCCATGTTTGTAGTCTTAGCTACTCAGGAAGCTGAGGCAAGAGGATCACTTGAACCCAGGACTTTGAGGCTGCAGTGAGCCATGATTGCACCACTGCACTCCAACCTGGCTAACCGAGTGAGACTGTCTCAAAAAAAAAGAAAAAATATATATGTATGGAAGAAATTTTAATGACATAAGAAAATATTTATGATATATTATCAAATGAATGAAAAATCAGAAAAACCAAGCCAAATATAAGGTATGCTTCTAATTGAATTTAAATATAGATTTACATATACATGCATAAAAATAATGAAGAGACTATATACCAAAATATTAACAGTGCTTACCCGTGTTTACTAGTATAACAGGTGACTTTTCTTTTCATCTCTGGACTTCTTTACATTTTCCTAAAATAAGCATGTCCTGCATATATTATTCGAAAGAATGTTTTACCCATACCCCCCACACACACATAAAACAATTTTCCACAAAGGTTTTAGAGTACAGGAATAGAATAACAATGTATTAGGAATGTCATGATGTATAGGCTAAGATAAATGAATCGGATAGCACAGAACCCACTGGTGGCAAACTGTCACTGTGCCCAACATGGAAATATCATAGAACTTCTTATTATGTAAAACTATTACATACAGCCTCCAGAGTTCTCTTAGTCTCTGCCTAAAACCCTCTACTCAGAAGGCACACAGAAGATACACAGTTAAGCACAAGTTGCGTAGGTGAAAAATGAAGATAATCATACCTAGGGGGTTCTTATATCTTAAAACGTGAATACAATAATACTTCTAGACTCCTGTCACAGTGCCTGGAACATATCAAGCACTCAATAAATATTAGCTATCTTGGTAGTTATGTTCTTCCTGATAAGCTAAAGAACAGAAGAATTCATAGCCTGGGTAAGTGGTTCAGCCTGTAATCCCGCACTTTGGGAGGCTGAGGTGAGTGGATTGCCTGAGCTCTTGGGTTCGAGACCCGCCGGGGCAACTTGGCGAGACCTCATCTCTACAATAAATAAAAAAAAATCAGCTGGGTGTGGTAGCGAGTGCCTATAATTCCGGCTACTCGGAAGGCTGAGGTGGAAGGACCGCCAGAGCCCAGCAGGTCGAGGCTGCGGTGGCCGGGAGCCGCCACTGCACTCCAGTCTGGGCAACGGAGTGAGACTCCAACTCAAAAACAAAAACAAAACAAAAACAAACAAACAAAAAAGAACAGAAGAATTCTACAGAAGATAGTTGTTGGTCTGAAAACATCCTATCAGCCACCTGGCACACACACTTAAGTTTAAAATAGGCTTGCAATTAATGTAGGTGGTGTCTAAAGGAATCCTTGACACATTGTAATTATATAGTCCATTTCATCCTCCATACTTATCAAGGTTTTAAGTATGAGTAATGAAAACAGGAAATGAAGTCCTGATAACATTCAATTTTTCTTTAATCATTTTGCTTATGTTTATAGACCAAAAATGACTGAAATATAAAAAAAAAGTTAGGACTTTATAAATACCACATTATTTGATGTATTCATTTTTATTTGTGATTAAAAACATCTTAGAATTTATATATGTCCTTTACTATAATACAAACAAAAAAACACATCTAAGATTCTTTTTTGAAAATATCATTATCCATTAGAGACTCACACACAGAGCTTTTTAAATGCATTTTAATCATCTACATTTGGTAAACTCAGAATAGTTAAATGTCCCTTTTTTAAAGAGAAATAATTTAGTAGGGGTCACATTTCTGGGTGAGGACACATTAACCCAATGATTTCGAAGAATGTGGGCTGACTCTGGCATCACAAGATCAAGAATAAAAACCTCAGTTACCTAGTCCATGAAAGATGCTGTACCTGTAACTTATAAGAAGTATAAGGAGGATTTTAAACATTTAAACTGAGGCCTGTTTGTCTCTCATTCTGAGAGCAGAAGTATTTGGGGAAAGAGTAATAAATCCAGATGACTTAATGACAAATATTTTTGAAAACTGGGGACTAAGGATGTCTTCTGCCCAGTGTCCCAATTTTGAGAATGCAGTTTGGGACCATACACTGGTTTCTGTCTCATTCTCTGACCATCTCCTGAATGTTTTCCCCAGGACCATTGCTAATTAATGCCCTCTGGGGTCCACCTTCCTTATGGCTAGTCAGGCTTTTTCAAAAAGTTTGTCCAGGATGATGGATGTCAAGCCTCATCTAGCTTGTTTTCCAGCAAGCAGGCCTTTTTTTTTTTTTTTTTTTGCCCCAAGAGGCAGGATAATGGGGAGAGGGGTGAGAATCCTGACGGGTGCTCAGTATACCATCACCATTGGGTACTCAGCTGGGTAAACTGATCCCACCAAAGATGACAGGTTCCTGCATTTTCTTGCACATGTTCAGGGCGATTTTTTTTAACTTCATCAAAATGTCCCATTTTAAACATGTATTTTTATGTTTCTATTACTTGCTTTAAAGATAATTTTAAAACAAAAAAACAAGAGAATTCAAGGTAAAATTCAAAGAGGGGAATCAGATGAGCACCTATGAAAAGCTGTTCCCTTACCCTCTCTCACTTAAAGCTAGTATACATTTGACTGAGTAGTGGTTCCATGTTTATATTCCAGTTAGCAGATTACTCTTGTGGATAAACAGGGGATGTCTATTTCTCTTCCACACGGGAAACTACATGACTAGATTTAGAAACCAGACAGCAGCTGCCAAAATGGGTCAGAATCGTTCAAAAGAGAATGGATTTTCATTTCAGAAGATTTGGAAGAGAAAAGACTTCTCAGGCAATTGAAAGAACATATCTGGGTGCATTAAGATTAAAAGAGGCTTCAGGAGGACTTTGTATTGGACTTTCTTAGGGGAAAAAATTCAATCTGAATGATGAGGGACAAATCCGTTCACTGGTCTAAGTTTCACGTTCTCCAGTTGTAAAATCTGGTGATTCAACTGGCCTGACAAAAGACATAACACATGTACATTGGAATGAATCTGCATTTTCCAAGCCTGATGAATTTTTAAAAACTGAATTAAGTCCCTAACTGGAAACCTGAAGATGAAAGGAAAGAACCCAGTCATGCTTCTTGAGGTAAAAGGGTGGTCTTGCTGGGAATTTGGTTACCTCTCAGGACAAACAACAAGGAATTAAAGACACTCAGGATCACAAGGCTGGCTCCTGCTCCCAGGTTGAGACTACAACATAGGCCTGGAAAAGGAGCATTCACTATAGAAACATCAATGTTAACATATGAACAATTTGCTTTTATTTCAATCTAAAAATAAATAAACAATAAATGCTAAAAATGCCCATTGTGATTTGAATTTCTCTGCATGTAATCTAATATGAAGTGGTTGCTAAAAATTCATTCGTGGTATATGACCAAATATTCTCTATGCAATGTATAGGTGTTCAACAAACACCACAGTTATTTATTATAAAATACTTGTTCATATTTGTACATCTCTGAAATATGGATAAGATTTAAAATGAATGGCATGTCATAGTTTAATTGGCAGCATCTTTTTTCTTAGCACCACTTAAAATAATGGCACAATTTAAGATGGTATCTTAGATTTGATGAAGTACTTTATCAAATGGTGAAGTAATTGATGAATTGTATTCAACATAGTTTAAAAACCAAAACTCTGCCTGGTCCTAAGGACCTCATAGATGTCTTGATATTTGTGAGTTAGCTTAAGAGTAAGCTGGAAAATGCTAAAGAAATGCTTCCAAGAATGCCTGGTCTTGTGAGCAAAGAGGAAAAGCATTGTCAGGTGGAAATTGTTGGATTCAGACAATGGGCCGTATGACATCACCGATGACTTAGATCTGGCATTAAACTCAGCTGGGTCTCTCCTGCCTCACTGCCTAATCCCCTGAACCTGGGTCTTGGTCAGTTTCAGGCCCTTCGTGCTGTGCTGGAGGTCACTGACACACTGCAACCCTGGAAAAGAGTCACTTACCTTAAGAATGTCCAGAATAATAGGTATGTTTTCTGGATATTCTATTTATCTAAGGTTTGGCTATAAAGGTCATCTTGTACTTTTAAAATATCTATAGCTGAAAAAAATCACATGGCAGCCAGAAGGCATGGCAGCTGCAAGAGCCTTTCCCTTTACCACCCCCAACCCTGGAGCAAAAACAACGATGTGTTTCTGTTTCCACCATCTCTTCCTCTTCCGGTCCTCGATGAAGGTATGCATTTCTAGCCCTAGTTGTGGAACATGACAATAATCGTGATGTTTGAGCAGATGAGAGTGAACGTGGGCAAGTTGCTCAAGGGTATCGACAGGAACAATCCTAAAAACCTGGCCACCTTGGAGTGCTACGTGGAGACATAGGCCAAGGAGAATGCCTATGATCTGGAAGTCAACCTGGCTGTTCTGAAGCAATACAGGTTCAACCAGTCTTCCTTCAGACTATGGTCGCTGCCCAGATCCTGCTGAAGGCCCTCAAAAACCTGCTCCACACTGACTTCACACCCTGTGCAAGTGCATGATTGACCAGGCACATCAAGAAGAGTAGCCGATCTGACAGATTTTGTACCTTGGGGACCTTCTGGGAACCTGCCACTTCCAGACCTTCTAGTAAGTCTTGGATGAAAACATGGACCTCTTGGGAGGGATAACTGGCTTTGAAGACGTTGTCAGAAAATGTTTCTACCAAGTCGTGGGTATCATCTACCAGCACATCGACCACTGGCTGCTGGCAGAGATGCGTGGGGATCTGATGGACAGCCAACTGAAGGTGTGGATGAGCAAGCAGAGATGGAGCACCAACACGTCGGGGCAGATCTTTATCTGCGGCCAAGAGGAGAGCATTAAGACTAAGAACATCGTGGAGAAGATTGACTTTGACAGTGTGTCCAGCATCATGGCCTCCTCCCAGGAACTAGAGACTTCTAATAAAGATTGTTGACTTGGCAAAAAATAAAAAATAAAATATCTATAGCCTCATGAAGTTCATACAAAGTAAATATATTTTTAAAAAAAATTAACTGAAGCTTTTTCTTGTCACCCTACTTACACCAGCCCAAAACAGCATCAGTTCTTCAGTAAGGGCATCAGGGATCTTAAGTTAAAGGAACAAAATAGCTAATTAGTACTATGGAAGATTATACCACAACCTACTGCTTTAAAAAGATGAATATACATACATGTCATATACAGATATCTACAGGAGGCTTGGAAAGGCATGTCCAAGTGGTTACTTCGGAATGAAAACTGAGTTTGTTTTTTCCTTATCTGTGTTTCCAAGGTTTTGCCACCATAAACATGCACTGCACTTGCAGTAATTTTTAAAAGCAATAAGGGTTTTTTTTTTTAAAGCAATTAAACAGTGGAAATATTTAGTACAACTGACATCTTTAAGGATGCTTCTCCAAGGATATATTTGCTTCATAATTCCTTCCTACAAAGTCACAGCCACCATCTAGTCCAGTCAGAAAGTTTGATTTACAGTTAGCCTTACGTGAGGCAGCAGAGGCCCACAAGCTGATGTAGAAGGATTAATTCTGCCCTATGTATTAGTAGAGACTGCAACCTCTGTGTGTGTTGACAATATATGCTCACATGTGTGATTTGCCTTCTCCAGAGATGGTAATTCACTGAAATGCAGAACTGTCTTGTTCTGGATTTGGTTCAAAATGCTGAAGCTAAAGAGTTTTTCAGTTGGGTGCTTCTATCCCTTAAAACAGGGATCCCCACTTCCGGGCCATGAATCAGTCCAGTCTGTGACCTGTTAGTACCAGGCCACACAGCAGGGAGTGAATGATGGGTGGGTAGAGCTCCATATTCTGTCAGATCAGTGGCGGCATTACATCCTCACAGGAGCCCGAACCCTATTGTGAACTACATATGCAGGGATCTCAGTTGCATGCTCCTTATGAGAATCTAATGCCTCATGATCCTCCCCCACCAGAAAAATTGTCTTCCACAAAACCAATCCCTGATGCCAAAAAGGTTGGGAACCACTGCCTCAAAGAATAAAACCCATTTAGTACAGGCTTTCCTTCTACCGTAACCACATTTATGCCAAATTAAAAATATTGATGATAAACACTACTTGAAAATGAGGAATGGAATAAATAAAGGGTCCTCTTTTGCTGGGCTATTAGCACAGGTTTAGGATGTTGTGACTCCTTTACCACACATTAGGTAGAAAACTGAATTTCTGCTTTTTTATATTATGCATAAATAAAAATTGATGTTTTTCAGGCTCTTTGTTTCCTCAAATCATGTTATTAACATTTATTGAAATATAGCTCTTCCCTTTTTTATCTTAGGTGCATAATCTCATCAACTTGGCAGGAAAAACAGATACCCCGAGGGTCTGAATTGGTATTTGAAGTGATAAGCCCCCTTTTAGTTCATACCTCATAATGTTATATTATTGTTTAGCAAGAGATAGCAGGCTATGTCTTGTAAATTTTAATATGTTCTTTCTGTCATTGAATCACCACTGCATTATCTACTGATATTCAACAGGATTCATATTAAACCGTGGATGATGTCTGGTTACTCTATTTTTGCCGACTAAAATCACAGAGAAACATTACGCTGTGACCAGTATTTCAGTGGCTGTAGGAACCCTGGGTAGCTAGTGCCTCTCATACAGTGCTCAGGAAACATGTTCTTCAGCAACTTCCTGAGGGAGAACAAGAGGAATTCAACAGGAGAACTGACTGGATATTCGTGAAGTTGGAACCACAGAACCCCTTTAAGCCTCAGTCTCCACCTTGTTGAAATACAGATGATCCTTCCTCACAAGATGGCTGCAACTATTAAATGGGAAGATGCAGTTAGAGGGAAACAAGTAGTAAAGCACTATGCTGGTATTATCATTATTGCACAGATATGAAGACTGAGCACAGGAGTCCATACCTTACCAAAGCCAGTGCATTAGATGGTGCTCTCATGCACAGGATAGCCTGAGGGTCACCTCTAGGGAGGGGCACAGAGGGAACAGGTTGAACACTGTGGACCCACTGCCAGAACTTCCTGGTCTGCAGGGCCATTCATGTGCGTTCGTTGTAAAGGGCACATTCTGCCTCTCTCATGGCAAAGGTGTCCCTCTCTGGCAAAGATGTCATATGTTACTGATATCACAGTTTGGCATCGATGCACAAATGAGTACTCATGGAAAGGAGGCAGTTAGCATTCTCTTGAAGGAGTTCAGGGAAGCCTCTCCAACCAGGAATGGAGGTGGGCAGAGAAACATGATTTAAGCAGCAAATGGGCATTAACCAAACACAGCACAACAAAGGCAGGTTGGACAAAATGCAGATCAGCCATTTCTGGCTCTATACGCGCACCCAACTCCCATCAACACAGCAATCCTGCACCCCGAGTAAGATAACTGATGTTTCAACTCCGTGGTCCTGGGTAGACTGAGGCTGGGGGAGCGGCAGAGCTCTGCTCTGTTTTCTGCTCGCAGAAACTCTTCTACCAACACCACCTTATTTTGCAGCAATGGAGACAAAGGGAATTTTCCTGAGCAGTGTGAGTGACAAAGAAAGGAGATAAATTATTGAGAAACTGATAGGCATTCATGGAAGAGCAACAAATATGATTTTTAAGCCCAAAGAGATGGCCTTGGGAGGGAAGATGAACAAGACAAGACTCCCAGCATGAATGAGCGGCTCTGACCAGCAGGAACTGGCTCAGTGGCCACAAGTACTCAGTAGGTGTAAGTAGCAGGAATGGAGTGAAATTATTTAGTGTCCAAGGGGACAGTAAGAGGAGCGACGGAGACAAAAGTCAAAACAAAGATGACTAGGTGGCTGAACAAGCCACGTCCCCTAATGGAGAGCTCTATTCTAGGCTGCACGGCGTTGTCCCCTGGGAAGGGCAGTAGCCCACGCTCAGGCCATTCACAATTGGAAAAGGTTCTAAAAAGTAGATCAGCATGTTGGAGGGGGAAAGCACCACATGCCCTCAGAGACTCAACAGCGTTGCCTCACAGGTCAGGCTACTGCGATGTGGCTTGTGTGCAGGGGGCCTGGGTCGCTAGAATAATTTTCCCCTCACTTGGAATCCTTCACTATCACTACAAGACCTCAGTGAAGCAAATGATCTCAGGTCATGGAAAGCAGTTTCTACATTGGAAGCAGAGACCACCCAGTACCAACGCTGTAGTATAAAGGCGAAACTGACCGTGGGAGGCTCAAACTGCAACGTCAGTGTGAATAAACACAGACATATCCAGACCGACTGAGGTCCAGCACCACAGACATGTGATGGAGACCCAGCAGAGGGAAATGAGCTTTGCCACATTTGGATGGTGGCTGCACACGCGAATATTCAAATACTTTATTTTCCCATCTAGAAAAATAGATATCCAAATATTTCCATCCTATCTTTAAAAAGAAAATAAGAAAAAATCTATTTGGGCTTAAAACTGTTAAGAGAGAGACTTACGCAGGGACTTCAGAACCCACATTTCTGTCCACAGTTGCAGTTGTAATTAGCAACTGACGCATTCTGAAACCCGCGATGGCTTCAGATACGCACATATGTGCACAGGTCGTGCCAACCCAGGCAAGAACCGTAACCGAAAGGGGCGGGCAGGGCCTGGGCAGACGGGAACTGGGGCAGGCAGAGGGCTGGGGCTCTGGGATTGCTCGAAGGAGCCCAGCTGTGACCGGCTAACCACCCCCCCCTCACCCCCCCACCCCACCCCGTCAGCGAGAGAATGACACAGACGCAGGGGACAAACCTGTAAGAGGGTGGCAAGAAGAGAGGCAGCAAGAAAGAAAGCAAAAGCGTCCAGAGAGGGGAAGCCCCAGATGCGAGCGCCTCGCAGGTGGAGGATGTCACGGTTCCTGATAAAAATAGAGCGTGTGGTCGGCCCGAGTTAAACCTAGTGTTCCAGAAGACTGAAGTTCGCTACAAACAAATGCAGGGTTTGACCTACACCCGGCAGATATAGGTCAACCCTCATCCTGCTGTTCTCGGCAGCTGCAGCCAATGGGGGCCCGCGCCGGCCCGCACGGGTTAAGCCGCTGCTAACAGGGCGATCTGCTAACCGGCTTCCTGCCTCTGCCTGGAATATTCCCGGCCAGCTCGGCACAGCCTGTGGCCGGCTTCTGTGACAGCAGGCAGACGGATGCGTGGAATCTGGGGCCACATATGCATTCCCCTCCCAGCTAGGTGACAGATCTGTTTAGAAGCCTTTAAAGGGAAGACCCTGTAAAACACCTTATTCCCCCTTTAGCCTGAGGACGATCCTCAAGCCACAGGCCCAGAGGAGACTGACTGAACCTTCACCCAGACAGAATTAGGAGTGTTTGCAGAGAGGAGCCTGGGACGAGGCCTGTTTTCAAAAAGGACACAGCAGAGGTTTCTCAGAAATGAATTGGTGATGGCAGAAAGAGCATGGAAGGAGCGCTCTGAGGATAAATGGGGAAATTATTAAATTAAATCTGAGGAAAGCTCATCTCCACCTCATCACACGGGGTTAAATGTCTACTGGAAACCCCCCCTGTTCAGTAACACACATTTCTTTATCCTATGTATTCAGACTAGGGTTGGAAGTGAGTTCAGATATTTTCCTATGCTCATGTTTTTAAAAAATGCTCAGCCCATTCTCCTCCGTGAGTGGGACATTAAATCAAGCCAAGCTTGGCCATGCGGCCTCTCCTCACTCGGGCCAGCGAGCAAGGACCTATTGAGTTGAATTAGAGGTTGAATTAGAAGAACAAGCAATAAATGCCAAATGTTCTGTTGTAACTATATTACTTTCTGTGGGGTTTTATGCCTTCTATCTTTTTTCCCCTGAATTCCAGACCAATGGGGCTACAGTAGAAGCCCATAAGCAGGGAATTCCATAACTCAGAATCTTTGGTTCAGATAATTTTCTTTTCATCACCTTAAGAGGGCAAATAAATCCCCCAAACTACCATCCCCACTACACAAGTTTCTAGAGGATATTCTTGAC